GCAATGCGGGAGACCTGGATTCAGTCCCTGGGTTGAGAAGATCCTCTGGAGGAGGGCATGGCCACCCACTCTGGTATTTCTTGCCTGGAGAATCCCCATGGACTGAGGAGCCTGGCAGGCTACAGCCCATGGGGTCGCAAAGAGTCGGACATGACTGAGTGACTAAGGGACGTGACTGAGAGACTAAGCGTAGCACAAGGATCTCTACTTGTACAGCTCAGTTGAAATTTTACCTTTTTTAATGAACCTATATTTTGAATTTTTTGTTGCTCCAACTTTTTTAGTAGTTTAGATAGCTCAACCTTTGTTGGTCCAAATTAGTGAGCTTTTTCTCTTAGTTGATATTCTCTTTGAATCAGTATAACAAGTAAGGTAGAATATCCATTTTATTAGGTTTAGAGAATTCAAGTGACTTGACTAAATCCTCTCCCCCACATCCCAGAAAAGTAGGACTAGAACTCAGATTTGCTGATTCCAGCCAAGGTTCTTTCCTCAAAAGTAGTAAAAAGGGCCAGAAATTAAATATTGATAAAGAATTTTTGTCTGAGGTGTTATAGTGAACAGAGTATCAGTAGTAAAAGCCAGAAACATTGTTGTTTGAGGTGATAGAAGTCAAAGTTGTAATTGATACCCTATTGAGTGGGGCACTTAAATACTGGTATGACCAGCACAGACTGCCTTTTCCAGGTTTCATCAGCATCTGATCAGGAAGCCCTCACCAGTGTTCAGAATGGAAACCAGCTCTTTCTGCTCCCTGTTGGAGGCAGCATAACATGTTTAAGCACTTTAGTGTCAGGCACACCTGGTTTTGAGTTCTAGCTCTGCCTTAGCTCTGCCTTTTGATCATCTTGTGACCTCAGATAAGTCACCTGATTTCTCTAAACTTCTAGTTTCCTCATTCTCAAAATAGAGATCATAATACAACTCCAAGAGCTGTAGAAAGGTTTGCTTGAGATAATGCACATAACATTCTTAGTACAGACTCTGGGACAGAGTAAGTATTTTGTAAATATAAGTTATATTGTTTCCACCATTCCTGTTCTTTGGAATAATATCCTAATACCATTAAGGATATAATAATTATTTCAATTAGAAATTGAAGGAGATAACCAAATAAGAGGGATTGTGTAGTTTTCAGAGTGAGGTTAAAGCATTGATTTAGAAACAGCAAGCCAAGCATTCTCTCATCCCTAACTCTTTACAGTAAAACTCATAATATCCTTGATGGTACAATATATCATCAAAGTCATCTTCATAAATATGGTTTAAGTGAGAAGTCCTGTCCTTTCCCTTCCCAATTTTGGAAGTTACTGTCTCATATTCAGTGTCTTGTCAGTATGGTTTCTCAAGTAGCATTATCTTTGTCATCATGTATTTCCAATTTAATAATTCCTAATTGTTGGTTGCTTTTCAACTAGATCTTTTGGCAAGCTTTATTTCATTTGTAATCATTTATTGAAATTGTAGGGAATTCCCTGGCAGTCCAGTGGTTAGGACTTAATTCAACAACCAATGGTGGTACTGTCAAATGTTACAGTTCATACTGCACTTGTATAGAATAGTCCTGTTTCCCATTGTGACTGTCTTTGAAGTATAAAAATTGGTTTTAAGGTGAAAGAATTGTTTTGTGGTGGTACAATTAAAAAATAGAGCAAACCAGTTCCTGATACTATGAATGAAACATGCATTTTTATTTATAGCATATCTGAGGACCATTGTGTGAACTCTCTCTGGCATATTAGCCTGAAATAAAATTGTAGATTAGGCATTCTGCCTTCCTTTGAGAATTCTTTACCCCCACTCTTTTGTGATTTAAAACAGCTCTGCTGCTTCCTATATAACATTTTCCAGATTATTTTCCATTTTTTTTCCTCTTATGTGAATCCTTTCAGTTGGTGCTGTTTTTCTTGTCTAAAAATTCTTACCAGAGAAGTGCTTTTAACTATTTTTACCCCTTAGAAATTACAGATATTCAAGTGAAGGTTAAGCACCTTGTGGTAATGGTGACTTTGAATGGTATTCACATTGCTAATAAATTGACAAAGTGTAGAACTACCAACCAAGCTGAGGTGGAAGAGACATATGAGACTGAGCTGCCCCAGATAAAATAAATCAGGAAGAAAAAGAAGCACTATCTCTTCCCTTTTTTAGGCAGAAGAAGCATTCCACCTCTCCTTGGAGATTCTTTTAAGTTACCACTGCCCTCTTGTTGATTATATTCCCTCCAATTTTGATTCCCCTCTAACGTCCAGAAAGATTCCCAAATTGTCTTTCTGTTTTCCCTTCTCCTTTACGTTGATATCATTTCTATTTCTTTGGTGTAAATTATGTATCTCAGTAAGGATTTAGAAAGAAAATAATTGATTCAATTAATTAATACAAAAACCCCCTTTACTAGTCCCAGTATTTGCATTTTCAAATTAAAGCTTGTTCAAATGAACCTCCAGTTGATGGGTTTTCAAATTGTGTGACAGAAAATTGGGATGGGGCAAGATTTTGGTTTGTTGGTTTGTTTTTTCTGCTGCTTTAAATCGTTGTTGTACCATGATCAGCTCTCTGAAGTTATTTGTACTTTTGGTAGCTTCTCTGTTCTTTCTGTGTTTCCAAATTCTTAAGTTTTCCAAAAGTTCTCTGTGCACATATGTTAGAATTGTTTGTGTATGTGAATTGGTGGTGATGATAGTTTTTCGTAACTCTTACTGAAAACGCCTCCACCTCTAGCCTAACCTGAGCAGTCCTCTTAGATGGCAGTGAGACTAGCAAAATGTTTCAAGTTTCATTTTGTCTCTATCTTATTCAAGGTGGAGATTTAAGGTTCTGCTTAATAGGAATGAATAAACAAACAGCTGCTATACCGTACCAAAAGTTTGCTAACCCCTAAAATTAAGCAAATGGTCTAAAAGTTCTCTTTTCTGCAAAAGAAACTTAAGCCACACCATCCAAAAACAATTACTTTGGACTCCTCCATGAAAATGGATACTAGAAGGCAAATTACAGTCAGAATGGTTTAAAGATATAATCTTGAATTTTTAAAATAATCTTTCAAATGATTGCAAAGAATTTCACGAACTTCAAAGGAAAATATTTACCTCCTTCATTCTAACTGCAGCCAGTTTTGCCCCAAAGGTACATGGTGCATGAGTGTTTTGGTCTCCCCAGTCCTATATTTAATGGCCCGCGCAGAATTGGATATAATTATAAATGCAGTAGTCCTTTTCATATGATGAGGGCAAAATTATATAGAATTTATAGACAACAGTTATAGTAGTACCGTGTGTTCCATAGTCTCACCTAAGTGTTTGCTGAGTCAAGTCAGTGTTTAGATAAGTTTTATTTACATGACTATTTAATAATACGTGGAATCCTGCTGGGAAATATGGTCCTTATTTAAAAGAAATGTGCACACCACTAACACCACTCCCCATGTATTCCAGAGATACTTCGAAAACTGCTTAAATAATCAAAGACTTTACATTTCTCTCTGAATCATCAGTTCAGTTCAGTTCAGTCGCTCAGTCGTGTCCGACTCTTTGCGACCCCATGAATTGCAGCACGCCAGGCCTCCCTATCCATCACCAACTCCCGGAGTTGACTCAAACTCACGCCCATCGAGTCGGTGATGCCATCCAACCATCTCATCCTCTGTCGTCCCCTCCTCTTCCTGTCCCCAATCCCTCCCAGCATCAGGGTCTTTTCCAGTGAGTCACCTCTTTGCATGAGGTAGCCAGAGTGCTGGAGTTTCAGCTTCAGCATCAGTCCTTCCAGTGAACACCCAGGACTCATCTCCTTTAGGATGGACTGGTTGGATCTCCTTGAAGTCCAAGAGACTCTCAAGAGTCTTCTCCAACACCACAGTTCAAAAGCATCAATTTTTCGGCGCTCAGCTTTCTTTGCAGTCCAACTCTCACATCCATACATGACCACTGGAAAAACCATAGCCTTGACTAGACGGACCTTTGTTGGCAAAGTAACGTCTCTGCTTTTTAATATGCTGTCTAGGTTGGTCATAACTTTCCTTCCAATGAGTAAGCGTCTTTTAATTTCATGGCTGCAATCACCATCTGCAGTGATTTTGGAGCCCAAAAAAATAAAGTCTGACACTTTCCACTGTCTCCCCATCTATTTCCTCTGAATCATAGTCACCCTATATTAGAAAGCAGTACAAAGTATGTGGGAGGACTAGGTCAGTAGGCCCTTCTAAACCTGAACTGATATGATACTATTCACAATTACATACAGAAGAAACTAGATACTCCCTGTATGATCTGTCTCTTAACATGTGTTAATATTTCAGGACTTGAGACTTCCCTGGTAGTCTAGGGGCTAAAACTCCGCGCTCCCAATGCAGGGGGCCTAGGTTCGATCCCGGTCAGGGAACTAGATCCTGCATGCTGCAGCTAGACCCTAGTGCAGCCAAATAAATAAATATTAAAAAAAAAAAAAGTCAGGCCTTAGTGAATTTTAAGGGTTGTAACTTGTGACATGCAATACCAAACCCATGGTCAGGTATTACTGGCCAATTTCTGTGTAGAACATATTTCCTGATTCTTTATAAAGGTAGAGGGATTGTGTCATCTGCTCAGTTAGAAACTTAAGAAGCATTTTACATAGAATATACTTCTCTGACTGTTTAGATATGTTACCTTCAGTTTGGTCAAAAGCCATTCTCCTAAAGATAATGGACTTCTGACTTAAAATGAAACTGAGGATCATTCTCACTTGAACAGGAACTCAATAGTTGGCAACATAGCAGGTTAAAGACATAGAAGACCTCTTTAAGTTTTGTCATTACTGTGATCTTTCATGTGATAAGACGCTGGTTAGAATTTTTCACACACGTAATTCTATTTTCAAAGCTATTTAAAATCACTTTTAAATTCTAATTGTGTGATTGTTTAATACCACTTAATGTCATTATTAGATACACTGTTAATTGCTTAATATGGAACAAGGGGAATAAAATTACACTGCAGCAGAAAGCAGTTTTATTTCTCCATTTACTAAAGTATGAAATTTTTAATGTGCTTATTTTTTAAGGCATATAAAAATTATCAGGTGTTATCTTTGAGCATAGATTGGTACATTTCTTTAGATATTTCTTTATTTCTTACTTACATATGGTGTTTTTATTACTTGCTTCAGCTTTTGCAAAGTAGGTTTGTTTTGTTTTTAGTCGAGAGGCTTTAACTACACAGATTGGCTTCTGTGAGTTTATGTTTCCACTGTTCTTTATCTAGTTGTATATGCCAGGCTTCTGTAATGAAAACTTACAATGAGTGTTTTATTACTTAACCTTACCAAATGCCAGTTCTTATTCATAGGTACTTACCTATGAAGGTTATAAATATTAACATGTCATATGCTTTGTTTAGAAAAAAACTAATTTCTTTCCTACATCTCATTTTGGAAGATTCTATCCAATAGAATGCCACAAGGCAAATTAAAAGGCACCCCTGCTTCATGGAATATTAGATGTTTTAAGACAGTGGATTCCAGCCATTACTTCCTTGTAATATAAAATGGAACTACTTGCCCTTGCTCTCTCTCTCTTTTTAAAATTCTCTTTCTTTCTTTCTGCTCTCCTCTAAAAAAGGATCATACATCTGGCTCTCCAAGAGTTTAGAAGACAACCTTTTCCCCTTTTGGAGGGGGCAGTTTTTAGGTTTAAGCTTGGCATTGTTAAAGCCTTGACATAATCAGTTTTACACAAATTATGTGTTAGCTAGAAAACTGAGGGACATTCTCTACCAAGCCATGACAACGTACTGCTGTAACTTAATAAAAATTGCCCAAGTGACTATGCGTCTGCTGAATGGATTTTCTTACACCATCTGGTTGTCATTGTAGTTTTTTTGTTGTTGCTTTCATTTGAAATGTGCTGATGATCTTGTTTTTATTCCGTAGCATTGAACAGATGGGTTGATTATTCTTTTCAGATATTAATAAGGCAGCGGAAAGAAGAAATATGAATACGGCTCCATCAAGACCCAGCCCCACACGAAGGTAAAGTACCCTGAAGCAGTGAGTTACCTTGGGAGAGTTGGGCTCTGGGGAGTTAAGCCCAACTTCGTACATCAAGGGTCTTTTCTTCCCCCCCCAAGAAATCAGAAACGCACAAGCAAACAATAAGAACGTGAACCTGTGTGAAGGGCCTGGCTGCTTTTTTAGAACATACATCAGGAGATGCAGAGGAAGCTTTGTTTTCCGTGGCAAACCCAGCAAGTTCAGCTTGCACCGTGAGTTGCAGGCGATTGGAAGAGGATAAACCTCTGTGTGTCCCCCGCTCACGTATCAGTGGGAGCCTCCACAGCAGGAGTGCCTGAGGGTCGTTGGTGTGTGCTGCGCTGCCCTGCAGCAGGCTCGACTCTTCATTCCACATGGCTGCCGGTCCAGATGTTCACCCAGGTTTACAGAAAGTGCTGCTTGAGAGATTGCTACTGTGCCTCTGCTGCAGATCCCCTGTGCGCTCGCGTGCTTGGGTTACCTACTGAGGGGAAATAAAAAGGGCAAAAACACCCTACCTCTAGAAGTCTCCCTTTTTCTTAGTTTTCCTGGAAATAAAAGGCATCTTCCCAAATAGTCTTCCACTATTTACAAAAGAGATAGTCCTGATGTGTACCCTCAAGATATGCATTAAATTGGTCCCAAAGAAGACCCTCATTAATGTTGCCATTACACCAAAGATGAGTATATTGTAATCAAACTGTCTGGCCTCATAAATAGCACATACGTGGATGCAGTGTGTGCAGTTTTGTGTGGAGTGCAGACATACATATCTCATATCTGGTGTCTCATCATGGCCCAAGTGGATACTCGGTATGGATTTTGCCTTTGCCCCTAAGTAAAATGCCAGTTTTCCACAGCAAACTGTGTACCTAAACTATATACCACAGGAAACTACATTTCATATGATGACTGAACATGCTGGGTACAACAAATCCTAGTCTGTACTGGTAGCTCCACAGGTCACTTGGGGGTATACCCAACTAACTGGGCACTTAAACATAACATATCGCTGTCCTGCTTTGAAACAAAAACACCTATAGTTCGTTACCTACTTATAGGAAGGATTGGCTGCTTTGTGTTTGTATATGCGCCCACTTGGACCTGATGGTATTTTCTAAGCTACCAGTATTAAATTACACGGGTATGTTCTGCAGAGTTCAAGCAGACCTTAGGGACAGAGTAATGCTGCTGATTTCAGTTAGATTCTTTGAGCACTCTGCCTGGAAGTTGAATCTAACACCACAATTATAGCTGCACCACAGCTGTTAGCTGGATGCCCTGGTCATCCATTGGTTTCACTGCAGAAGTGAGCATATACATTTGTATTGTTTGTTTTCTCTGACACCATAAGGAATGCCAGCAGCTTGCAGGAAATACTGTGTTGATTGATTTTGTGTATATGTGTGAGTGTCCTAAAGAACATAAATGAATGCTTTGGAACTTCAGCAGATCCATATAATGTCTGTTTCCGTTGTGCTGCATCTAACCACACTGCAGATGTTGGGCAGTCCCTTCAGTGTTGCTCCTCGTTGCCCCAGTAAACATGGAATACAAGTGACTGAGAGTTTTCATCTAATAGACATATGGGGCTGCACTGGAAGCTGTTGGGTGCTAAATGACTTGAAAGGAGATGCGGTGTATATCCAATTTCCAAGGAGCTCAAATGTGTGTTTCTGAAGGAGGTAGCTTACAGGAGTGTAGAACTGGTCACTGTAAAGACATGCCCCTGGTAAAATCCTCCTGCTCGCTGTATCCTTATGATGTCTGTGATGTCGGGTAGTGTTTCCACAGGCAAAAAGGAGGTGGGGCTGCACGTCACAGAATAAAAGGTAATTCTCATTTGTGCTGTGATAAGAATATTTTATGTCATTCCACTAAGAGTAGACCTAACCAGATGCTTTTAACGTTTCCCATCATTGTAGCTACCCACTAAGCATTGGCCGTGTTGGGGAATAGCTTACTCCCCTGCTTGAAATCCAGTGTTGCCGTTGCCTGAGCATTAACTTTAAAAGGTTAATTTCATCCCAGCCTAAGATTTCATCTGTAATGAAAGAATGCTTTTTTCTTTCTTTTTTTATTACCCCCCCCCCAAGATAAACATACAAACAACATTGGAGGGGGACTTCTAAGATGTTCTCCTTACCAGATTTATAAACATATGTCACATTTTCATTTTAATATATCGTCTTCCTCAAAAATAAATTCTAAGATGAGGTCATTTGGGACGTGGATTGGGCTGTGGCTTCCCATTTATAATCAATAGGAGGGACAGCTAGGCTAATTAAAGATCCATTAAAAATCAGTCATCTTGGTGATCCATCCCTAACTAGGTTCCTCAAAGTGTCATTTAGCATGATTAAGTTTCACATAGTCATACTCAGTAAGATTTAGGGAAGAGGGATATTCACATTTAGTTAAAAAAAAAAGAAAAATTTTCTGAGCCCTGTCTAAAAGTCTAAGCAGAGTCCCAGTTTTGTTCCATTTAAAAATAAAAATTTTCAAACCATAAAGTCAGATAAATTGAATGTTGTATTCAAAATAGAACACTAACGTTTTGATCATTGTGCTTATCATATATTGTCTCTTAAGATTCTAGTCTGGAAGGGGCTAATCATTTCTCTGAGGGTGAACACTGGCTAGCACGCACTCTCTTCAGGTGCGTGCTTCCAGTCAAAACCTTGAGATAATTCCAAGTGTACCAGTATGTTGACAGCAATCCATCTGCCTTCATTCATTTAGCAACCCTAAACATTTTATGTGCCCCCAACCATGGAGGAATGCATTGTTCACGGGAAGGGGGGAAAAAAGCTACCTTTAGCAAGCATTTCCCTTAAGTTGTAACTGTTTCTTCAGTGTTGCTACTTTTAATAAGAAAATTGTTTCTAAGCATGCTGGCAAGACCTTTGTAACACTTATTTTGCTGGACTTTAACCTTGAGTGTCAAAACACCTCAGTATCTTTGGGAATTTTCACAGGATCATCACCTCTTCAAATGTCTCTGTAAGCCGCAGTTCTGCTGGCATTGATCTCTGCTCGGTAATATGCCTCCCTAACGACTCCAGCTGTGGGAATGTGCTTCTCACGGGTACTGGCCCAGCCAAGCACAGAATTCTGCATCAGGGATCCCTGCTCTGGATCACATTTCGGCCTGAATTCTCATCATCTAGCCCTTGGACCACTTCATTGGACTCCACTGTGCACATTGAGAGCATTGCATAGTTAGCATGCAAGTTGTCTAGCATTGGTGCTAGGCATCAGTCCTTAACCATCCTCGGAGACTGGATCATGATTCTAGTCTTACCTCAGTTCTCAGTTTCCATCTTCATCTCAACACTTCAGCAGTCCAGGTCTTGGAATATCCTTCTGCAGACATGGCCTCTAAGTGATAGTCTACTTTCTAAGCCTTCCTTCATGACCTGAGGAAAAGCAAATAGAGTTAACTTGTCTACATCAAGACCTCTGCAGAGAATTTCTCTATGTATTCGTGAAGCATGTTAGACCTGGTGCCTCGGTGAAAGTTGTCAAGGATTGGTTCATCAGAAATAACCTGGCCATAGTCAACTATATTTCAGTTTTTTAAAAAAGAAAAGAAAAAGCCTAACTGCAGACAAGTTTCTTACGTGGCCTGAGGTGATTTCTATGTATCCACAGTGTTAATTCCTTTAATAACTGCTTGCTTCTTGGGTCTGAGACTGCCCTAGCTCTAGGTGGGCTGTGATTACCTGTGCACTAACACTTAAGGTCCGTCAGTTCTCAGCAAGTGCTACCTCTCTACCAGCAGAAGAGTTGCATTTGTGTTTGAGAAAATTATCAGTGCGCTTCCTAGGGAGAAGCATGGGCACTTAACAGGATTTGGATCTGTAAGGTGCGATAGCTTGTTGCACCCGTTAGCCTTCCTGCACCCAGTTACAAAATTCTGTACAAGTCTGTTGTCTCTGACGGTAGCTTGGAGCTCCTGGTGGGGGATCAACATCACACAGCAGCCAGCCATTTAGAGAATGGTATTTGTGGACACTATCTGTGACAGAACAGAAATACAAAGAGCTGCTGGATTTTTTTTTTCAGGAGAAAGAAGGCTGGCTTTCCAAGGAAAATATTCCAGTGAACAGAAAGAAAAAAGGAGAAGCTGACAAAGAAAAGGACAGAGGCCTTCCTCCCTGACCTTCTGAACAGCCAAGGCCAAAGAACACCATCCTGGGCTTGAGGCTGTCTCTAGCCAAAGAGAAGCTCAGAGTCCATCAGTTGTCCAAGAACTCTCAAATGCCTAGTGCTCCTCAGGAAGAGAAGCACTTCTACCAGGAGCGTATCACTTGCCATCTGAGCCATGGTCTTTTCCTTCATCCCCCCTCCTCACCTCTCAGATGTTTGCAAATGGTGTGACTACCATTTCTCTCAAGGCAAAAGAGCGTTTGGCTTTGCCCCTCCTGCTGAATAGATGAGGAATTTGCAACAGAATTTTAGTGATGTTTATCAATTGCTTTCAGTTTGTGGACTCTGGTTCTGAAGTTTTAACTGTTCAGTTTCTTTTTAGCTTCTGGTGACCTAGTACCTGAGGGTACAGTGCATTGGTCTCCAGTTAAACAACTTTGGTACCATGGGATGATATAGTGAACTTCATTCTCCAGAAACTTGCCTCTAACCCACTTAATATTTGAGGCCAAGCATCTTGTTCAGCAGGCTTCATCCTTGCGGCACTCTGAATCCTGCACACTGTACCATCTTTTTGTTATCTGGTTCTTATTTTGAGAAAGATGTTGGGGCCAACACCAGGATCCCTTTTGTTTTGGGGAGGTCTTTGGCTCCTAAAGGGTTGTTTTGTTTTTGTTTTTGTCTCCAGAAGAAAAGCAGTCTGCCATACTGCTTGTCTTTTGGAGAAAGGAAAGAAAGCTTTCCCTTTTCTTTTTAGAGCCTTGCTATTCCTCTCTGTCCCTGCTTCTGCTACTCCTTTGGTTCTTCTTCCCCTTGTGAATATCATCTCTTCTACATTTTTACCTAGAAGGTAATTAAGGGGGAATTTATAGTTTTGTTGCACATAGACTTGCAGATTGACTGCTTGCCTTCTCAAACTAGAAGCATGAACCTAAACTTTGGGAATCTAGGGTATTGTGGTCAACCTCCAGGAATAAACTCTCGACAGGTGAGTAAGGTATTTCAGTGGATTCAAAAGAATGAGAACCGGATGTGGCATTTGTAATCATCCTAAGGCTGTGAATAGTGCCATGATGTGGTGGTGTTATCCCTGTCCCCACCCTCCACCCCGTTTTCTCCAGCCTACGGCTTTGTGTGTGGTCTGTGGTCTGTCAGGTTCATGATCTCTTTCAGCCTTGATTGCCAAAGAGCATTTGAAATCTGATTCCACCTCTAATGACTTTTTTCTGACTGCTCCCCAAGGCAGGTTTATCTGCCGATCATTAATCCAGAAATATTTTACAGTTGTCCCTTCCCATTGGATCCTGGGTATTTGCCCACAATATACACTATATCAGATGTTACATGTGTTAGAAGGGTTATATGACATAATAAAAGTTGAAGTAAGAATCTTGGTTACTTTGCACTTTGTTCTAGTAGGAAAACTCTTTAGCCATCCTCATTTAAATTCTCTGATCTCCCATATGTTTGCTCCCACCAATCAAGAGTACTTGTGAGCCTTAAAACATATGACAAGGACTTTTCATAGAAACAAAGTTGGTATTTAAATTGTTTTTGCTGTGACCATGTGGATGAAGTGAAAATGAGGTTTTCTTCCAAGCTGAGGGCATCATGGTGAACGTCTATGTAATCATGGTAGGTGACAAAAATATGAGGAAGACATGATGCCTACTCTTGAGAGGCTTACAGTTTAGTTGAATAACTCAGTTTATTAAACATTTACTGAACTCTGTGCTGTGTCCTGTGGATACAAAGCATTCAAGTGAGCTTGCTGTTTGGTAGGGAAGCCATTGCAAACACATAACTACAGAACAGTGTGATAAGTGCAGCAATAGAAATATATATGCAGAGCAAGACTCGTTTAACAGGTTCATGGAGCATCTGCTCTATGCCAGACAATATAAGCCTATGTAGTGGCTTTATCATGGAGTCAAACTGACAGTCGTTGTCTTCATGGACTTGCAGTCTAGTAGGGCTGACAGGCGTTAAACAAGTAAATTGATATGTGACATCAAATTGTGATAAATAACATGAGTGAAACAGTGCTATGAGAGAAGGTGGCCAAAATTTAGGGACCAAAGTTGTTTTGTTTTGGGGGTGGGGGAGCAAAGTTTTAAACTAACAGAATCATGGAGTAAGGGATGGTTAAGCCTGAGACCTGGAAAAATGAGTGTGGAGTGGTTCCTCCTGCACAATGAAAGGCGTTGGGAAAAACCTTGACTCGTTACAGCTGAAAAGTCAATATGGTGAGAAAGACGCAGACTAGGGAGGGGGCGGAATAAGTTTGGAGGAAACAAGAGCTGAGGCAAGGCAGAATCTTATTAGCCTCAGTAGAGATTTTGGACTGAATTCTAAATACTGTGGGAAACCAGCGAAGGGTTTTACATATTTAAAAGATGGTTCTAGAGTAATCTAAAAGAAGATTAGGAAACAGGCAAGAGCAGAAATGGGGAGACTACTTTAGAAGGCTCTGCTGTGGTTTTGGGGAAAGGTGGTTTGGGGTTGGCCTTCAGTGGTTCCAATGGAGATAAAGAAACATGGGCAGAATGGATATCAATTTCAGAGAAAGAGTGAACAGATTTTGGAAATGTCGTTGGAAGAGTGGATAGATAGGGCTTTAAAGAAAGGATGACATCCAGTTTCCTGGCTTGAGCAACTGAGTAGATAGATGTGCCGTTTATTGAGATGGAAATGACTGGGGGAGGGCCCTCTTTGCTGGAAAAGATCAAGAGTTCAGGGCAGGTTTTACGGAGGAGGTAATCCTTAAAGCGGGTCTTACAAGGAGACATTGTAAAAAGGTAGATAGATCTAGATGAGTAATAGAAATAGTAAGTGCTCTAAGAGTTTAGCAGGAGAGATTAGCAGTTACTCCAGAGATAGAGAATTTTTTTTGGAAGACAGGGGACATGAACTTGGCTTTGAGCATTGGGTGATACTTGAGTTAGTGCAGGAAAATCATTCCACGATGAAAAGCCATATGAACAGAAATACTGAGTTAAGTCATAAGAACATGTGAGTTAAGTCATAAGAACAGCTTAAGTAGAACTAAGGAAGTTGGATCAGGAAATGAGGAAGAAATAATAAATGGAAAGGGGCCAAATTTGTTAGGGAAGAGAGCCCAGAAGCGTGATAGCCAAGCTGCAGTTGGTAACAGGTGGAAATCGATGGTTTGTGTAGTATTTGCTGAAAGAATTGAAATCTGGAAGGTTGGATTTTGGTTTTGTATCTTAAAAATTCTTGGTGGTGCCAGCATAGAAAAAGGGTTTGGATTGAATTTAAAAGTCCAATGGGAATGAACAAGAAAAGCAAAGAGTATTCAAGTGACTTGATAGGGAAGAAAAATCAAAGTTAACTCTCAAGAACTTAAACCTTGGTAACTGGGAAGATGATTTTTGGCAAAAGTGAAAAGGTCTGCGCCTGAGTGGGTTGAATAAGAAGTTTAATTTTAAATATGTTGAGAATGAGTTCCCAGTGGGGTAGACTGTCGCATGGAGAATATTGAATCAGATCAAGCCGAACACCTGTGACTTCAAACACTGTTTTGTTTTTAAACAAAGAATACCTTGACCAGAAGGAACCAGGTTCTATATAAACTTTAGACTAAGAGAGACCACTACTCATATGTTAAGAAGATAGAGTGTTCCTGTACTTGACTGTGTGTCTTGTATTGTACTTCTCTTTCTTCTTTCCCCTTTATTCGATTGATCCTGCTCAATGTTTTTTTTAAGTAATGTTTTCTGTACTTTTAAGGATAACTCCTTGGATCACCATTACTTTGTATAAGATTGTGCCAACCTTGTACGAGATTGTGTCTTTTGTTCATTTTTCCTTCATGAGTCTTGCCCCTTATTATGACCACCCCCCAACCCAGCAACTATTCTCCCCTTTTAAAATCTCTTTCAAACAAGTTTGGTGGGAAGAAATGAGTGAGGGAAGATCCTTTCAGTTTGAAAACCTGTTGAGATAGAGATGATAGTTTGACATGTATACAGAATATTGAATTACCCCCCATAATCTGATAAACACTATGACCCCAGTCAAAACCCTTGGCTGTGGATCATACATTCTTCCTTGACTATCCTAATCTTTGGAGATTCTAAAACCTGCTAGTCTTTATTTGCTGACCAGATGGGTGACTGTCCTTAAAATTGTAATCTTATTCCTCACTGAGTGCTGTGTTTTAGAGAAAAATGTTTGGAGGGTGGGGGCTTTCTCCAGTAAAGAGCCCAAAGGTCAACTCCTTCAGTTCCTTTGTCTTAGCATCTTCTTGCCCCCTCCCACAGAGATCCATATGGCTTTGGAGATGGTCGAGATACAAGACGTGATCGATCGCCCATTCGAGGAAGTCCAAGAAGAGAGCCCAGGGACGGCAGAAATGGCCGGGATGCTCGAGATGGCAGAGACATGCGAGACCCCCGAGATTTGCGGGACCACAGAGATACCAGAGACATTCGGGATCACCGAGACAGCAGAAGTATGCGTGATGCTCGGGACATGAGGGATCTTAGAGACTTTCGTGACCTGAGAGAAACTAGGAATTTTCGAGATCACCGAGATCCCATGTACGATAGATACAGAGAGATGAGAGAGTCCCGAGATCCCATGTACAGGTAACCTCTGCAGCCGTTCTGCTTGCTGGGTTTTTTGTTTGTTTGTTTTTGGTAGCAATCTTTTTTATGTTTGTTCTGCTGAACTAATTGAAAACTCTACAGCAGTGCCTTTCTTAGTCCTGTTTCCAGTGTCTATCACCGTGAGAGATGTGCTGCTTAATAAATATTTGCTGAATATGTGATTGAAGATGGATTTTACTTAATGAATGAATCTGGGTCTCTTCCTGTGGGCTGTGAATGGCACCATTGTGCAAATGGAAAAAAAGATGGGAGTGCAAATTGTTTTGGCTATGCAGGACCACAGGGTAGATGTACAAATGGCCAATAAATATGTGAAAAGATACTTGACATCCTTAGTTAGCAGAGAAATGCAAATCAAAGCCACAATGAGATAGCACTTCATACTTAATAGGATGAAGGCTTTATTAGTTTCCCTTTTTTTTAAGTGTTGGTGAAGTGTAGAGGAACTAGAACCCTCATACATTGCTGGTAGGAATGCAAAGTAGTATGACCGCTGTGAGAAAGTTTGGTGGTCCCTCAGAAAGTTAAGTGTGGTAGAATTAATGATCCACCAGCTCCACTCTTGAATATATATCCAAAAGAATTGAAAAGAGGAACTCACATAGATGGGTGTGACTGTACACAGCAACACTATTCACAGTAGCCAAAAGGTAGACACCACTCAAATGTCCATCAATAGATGGATTAAAAGGTATGATCTATCCACACAGTATATTATTCAGCCATAAAAAGCAAGGTCATTTTTATACCTGCTAAGCCTTGATAGACCTTAAAAAATATGCTACATGAAATAAATATTATGCTACATTGTCACAGAAGACAAATATTATGTTTTCACTTATATGAAATATTTAGAAAAGGCAAATTCATAGAAAGTAGATTAGAAGTAACAGAGATTGGGGGTGAGTTTCTGTTCAGATTGTTCAGGATGATGAAAATTAGTTTATATATGTATACTTTTTTTATTTGTTCTATTTTTTAACCACAATTTTTAAAAAGCACAAGGAAGGAGGCTTGGGGTAGGGCCTAGAATGGTTACTCAAAACTAATATCAATAATTACTACCAGTTATTTCGTGTTTACTTTGGGCCAGGGAGCTTACATTATGCTGAGAGCGTTCTGTACACCCTCCCAGTCCTTTTGGAAGGTAGGTTAACTCAGTCCCAGCCACAGAGCTGATGAGCAGTGAGTCCCAGATACTAATTTTCTTTCCTAATCCCAAAGTTCTGTGCCTTACTATGTCATCCTCACAGACAGCTGAGTCTTGAAGAATTCTCTGTATTTTATTTTTGCAGGATAAAACCTTTAATTTTGTGCACATTTCTTTACCTTTTCAGGAGAGAAGGCTCTTACGACCGATACCTGCGAATGGATGACTACTGCAGGAGGAAAGATGATGCTTACTTTGACCGTTACAGAGATAGCTTTGATGGACGAGGCCCTCCAGGCCCAGAAAGTCAGTCTCGTGCAAAAGGTAAAGTAGAAAAAACAGTTTATTCTTATCACAAATAGAACACTTTACAAAAGAAAGAGGAAACTAATAACCAGCTGGAAAGGAGCTAATGACTTGGCTAAGCAATTCACAAAAAGAAGAAATACAAATGGCCTGTTCATTTATAGAGAGCATTCAGCTTGAAAATCATTTTTAAAATGCAAAGTAGTACTGTCATCTGGTTTAGTCACCCAACGAGAAGAAATAAATATGAAATACTATCAATAAGAAAAGAAATGAACTAAAGATTGGTTTGGAGCTGAAGAGGTTAAATGTTTGTTTTTTGCTCACTGCCCAAATAAATATAGCTGTCTGCATTACCTATGTCGTATGTGGGGAAAGTTGTTTTATTTATAATTTTTACCTAAGAGCATCTACTTTTTAGATAAAGACGTTTTTTTAAAGCCCTGATTTTCTCAGTATATTTAATACATCTTTAAGATTTTTAAGTTGTCTTATTCCTGGTCAAGTTAAGAGCCCCATTTTTAGTTTGTTACAGAACTTATACTTTACTGCCTGGTTTTGTTTGGGATTTTTTGTTGTGTTTTTTTTTTTATTACCTGATTTTTTTTTTAAAGCAAATTACAATTACTTGTCAATAAGAATCTTAAATGGTTGTCCCAAAAATGAAAATTAGGATAATAATGAATACTATCTTTTGCCTATCAATTGGCAGGTTTTGTTTGTTTTTTTTTAATGACAAAACTCAGTGTTGACCAAGATATGGAGAAATAGCACTAGGTGATCCACCCCAAAGAAAGGATGAGTTAGTAATATCCTTTCCTAGAGGACATTCTGGTAGCATGTGTCAGATTAAAGCAGACATGCCCTGTAATCCATTCATTCCATTTTAATGAACTTATAATAGTAAAAAAATAAAAATTTTTTTAGGAGGTAGTCTAGAGGATTACTTCAGAGGAGATGCGTATATTACAACCTTTGCCTACAAGTAGTTCAGGATTGAAAATAAGGTCTGTGACTTATTTTTATAGAAAGGCACGGTCCATGTTTCAGTTTTCCCTGGTGTCATCCTGCAGAGCGTCTGAAACGTGAGGAACGTCGTAGAGAAGAGCTCTATCGTCAGTATTTTGAGGAAATCCAGAGACGCTTTGATGCCGAGAGGCCTGTTGATTGTTCTGTGATTGTGGTCAACAAGCAGACTAAGTAAGAACCCTTTGGATTTTCCCTGAGTGAGGAGAAGAAGCAGAAGAGAAAAGCAGAAGAGAAATTAGAAATTTAGTCATCTTCTTGGCAGCTGTACCCACTGCCAGGCTGTGTACTCTGGCATTGCTCTACTGTGTTAACCAGAGTTCTTTCAGTTGTAGATGACAGAAAACCCACTGCAAACTGGCTTGAGCCCAAAGGGAAATTTTTAGTTTGCTTGACTGGGATGTTCAGGCATGGCTGCATTCAGGGTCAGCCTCTCATAATGACTTGGTCTTTGTGTTGCCTTCACTCTCAGACAAGCTTTCTACTTGAAAAGACAGAACAGCGCTAGCTCTTGACATGAGGCATGAATCTCCTTATCTTAGCAAACCCGTGGAAAGAGAGCTGCTTTTTCCTGTTGCTTCCACCTGAAGTCCTGGAATTGTTTCCCATCCCTGGACTGTCACTTTGGCCAGCAGTGCTGGGATGTCCTGATTGGCCAGGGCTAGGTCATGTGCCCACCCATAGTGCTAAAAGTGGGATTAACCCCGTGGAACTGGTATAGACTGAGTGGTAAAGGGGGTGCCTCCCCAAAGGAAAATCCAAGGGCATGTATGTTGGTCAGGCAAAGCAGTAGATGTCCCCATTGTGAGAGAACCCCGAGTCCCTAATACTTTGGAAGGCATGTCTCTGCATTCGTCAGCCAAGAAACCGGCTTTCTTTGTGAAGTGCCATGGCCTTGCAGAGCTGTTAGGTGACCGTGCTAGCCAAGCCAGAGCTCACAGCACTATTTTATTCTACCTCTGTTTCACATTCTTTTCTTGAATAAGCAGCTCAGAGGTGCAGAAGGGAGTGTAGCAGCTTGCAAGTTTGGCAGTAGCTATGTTCCCTTTCCCCAAGTGGTTAGTAAATAACTTCATGTATTTTCTAGCAGTTTGGGGTTAAAGAGCTAATTTTCAAGGCAGAAGCTAGGGAAATAGGTGTTGAGACACCAAACAGCAGGCAGAGTTCACAGGCTCTGGACTGCCTTGTTTAGAAATAGATGCTGCTTTAACTTGCAGATAACTTTTTTGCCTTTTTATTTTTAAATGCATCATGATAGCTGTCTTTTTCTGAGCACCTACTCTGTACTACTCCATGCTAAGCGCTTTAAATTATTTTTCTAATCTTCATAGTAATCATGTTTCACGTGTATTCATTCATCAAATTTTTTTTGTGTGTGGCAGGTGCTAGGTCCTGAAGCTGTAATGCTAATGAGCAAAACACACATGGCTCCTTCCTCTTGTGGAGCTTATACCTTAGTTGGACAGATGACAAAAATAAATGTATTGGTGATGAGTCTTATGAGAAGAAATGTTTCAAGGATCTCATTTAGATTGGAGAGAAAGTTAAGGAAATGACATATGAGCTGAGCCATATTATTCCCTGTCTGATTGGTAAAGAAACTGAGGTTTGTAAGAGGTAAAGGGATTTGCTTAAAGCTTCAACTTTGCAAGTAAATGTTAGGGCTAAGATCTAAGCCTGTCTCTAACATTTAAAACCCATGCTTTTCCCACTATGGTGTACAGCCTCTGCCAAGACAGAAATGTGCTGCAAGTCTTAGGCAACAGGATGGTGTTTAAGAATGACCATCAGACCAGAGAATCAAGAGAAGGGCCTGGGCTACTAAGTACTGTTCCATTGGGAGCTCTGAACCAATATAAAGAGAAGGAGTTGGTTTAGATTCTTGGAGCCTGAAGAGGGTGCTAGGGAGACACTGGTAGAGCTAGGATTTGAAGTATTCTGGCTGAGGTGCCACTGTGCAGATTGGGAGTTGATCAGGGAGTACTCAACTGGATCCTGTTTGTTTCTACAGAGATTATGCTGAATCTGTGGGGCGGAAGGTCCGAGACCTAGGCATGGTAGTAGATTTGATCTTCCTCAACACGGAAGTATCACTGTCACAAGCCTTGGAGGATGTTAGCAGGGGAGGGTCTCCCTTTGCTATTGTCATCACCCAGCAACACCAGATTCACCGCTCCTGTACAGTCAACATCATGTTTGGAACCCCTCAAGGTATGGAGGCCCCAGTGGGTTAGAATTCCAGAAACTTCCAGATACTAGTTCATTAATTTTTTTATGGCTTACTCAAGAAGCAGAAGGTTTTAGGTAAAGGTATTTCAGCTCAAATGTGGTAGGGCCCTTTTATAAGTGCATGGCAGAAACTTGCATAGTCATTTATTTGTTTGATCTTCTTTCATTGGATACAGTTTTGGGCCTGCTGTGTATGACATTACATTCAGCCCTTAGGTATGTGCAGTGATGTGTTGGCAAATGTTTAACAGCCAGTTCTGGGGTGGGGATGGCGTGGTTTATAGAATTTGCTGATTTCCATGGTGTAAATACTCCCACTGTGTTCTATTTCATGCCACCAACATGAAGTCACTTCAGGGCAAGTTGGGAAGAGAGGCGCACAGTCTGCTTGCCCCAGCGAGAGCCAGCTCCAGCACCGCTCTGGCACACACTGCACTGAGCGCGGTGGAGCCCCTCTTTCACCTGACTTTGGGATGAGGCACAAAGCATGTGCCAGGCAGTTAGGAGACTCTTTGTTAGTGTGCTGGAGAAGTCAGTGGAGGGACTTTGAGAAGAGGGAGGCAGCCTTGACCTCCTGGAGGCCCAGGGGAGGTTTCCCGAAGTCCTTCCCTGAAGTAACTTAGTCTTTTGCCCCCAGATTGTTAAGACTCAGTCAACTGCTGCCTTGCGGATTGCTCTCACAGCATAAACTTTTCCCTTCTTCCACCACCCTGGGCCCTCTATTTGCCTGACCAGTTTTACCCATTAGCATAGAGTGTAGAAGCCTCTCCAGTAGGTCATTCGCCTCTCTGAGGAGCAGTCCTCAAGATGTGTGAAGACATTTATATCAAGTGCCAAGAAGTTTTCTCACCACCTTATAAATCTTGTTGCCCAAGGGTGAGGGGAGGAGGTTATTTAGGGTCATAATTTGATCTTAATCCATAACCTTTGAACTGATACATTAACAAACAACTCTATCCTGAGGAGCGCGGTGGAAAGCCAGGCTTTACAGAAGGGCTGTTTGGACCCCCATGGCCTGCCTCCTGTGGTTATTCTCCACATGGTCTTTTTGAATCTGTGAGAGACTGTCGTGTTTCTCTGGTTTTTACTACATATCTGTGATCTAAGAATTCCCCACAGAACTAGCTCTCTACAAGGGTGTCTGTTTCCCACTGAAGAAACCCATTCTCTGTCTTCCCAGCTGCATCCCCTCCCTCTCACCTCTCCCCATCCCCATTCCAAGGCTTTTTGTCAGTAAAATGGTTTTCTTGCTTGTTTGAGGTCAGGAAAGGCTTGGTAGAGTTCAGCAGGTGGGCACTGAAATCTGTCATGGGAGAAAAATAACTCATGTCATTCCCTCCTACAGAGCATCGCAACATGCCCCAGGCAGACGCCATGGTGCTGGTGGCCAGAAATTATGAGCGCTATAAGAATGAGTGCCGGGAGAAGGAGCGCGAAGAGATTGCCCGACAGGCGGCCAAGATGGCTGATGAAGCCATCCTCCAGGAAAGAGAGCGAGGAGGCCCTGAGGAAGGGATGCGCGGGGGGCACCCTCCAGCCATCCAAAGCCTCATCAACCTGCTGGCCGACAACAGGTACCTCACTGCTGAAGAGACTGACAAGATCATCAACTACCTTCGAGAGAGGAAGGAGCGGCTTATGAGGAGCAGCGCCGACTCTCTGCCTGGTGAGCTACGTGGCAGGGCCGAGGTGAAGTTCTGACTCTGCATTTCTCTACCCCCAGGCTCTGTTGGGAGGGTGGCAAGCCCAGGGGTCTTTGGGGTGCATAAGGGAATGAGCCCATCCCATGGGTTTTCCCGCATGGGCCATCCGTGCTGGTGTAATAATGGTAACTTAAGATTTGGATACTGAATTCTGATCCCTGTAGTTAATGTGGTGGTGGGTAGGCTAGTATGGCTGACTCCCTGGGAACCAAGATGGATGCCCTTTTTTTTAAAGTAGTTCTCTAGGGGAACTAAGCTGTTTACTGAAAACAGCACATATTATGAAGTGGCCCCTTTGGGAAATCAATGTTATAATCTGTGTACTGTGTGATTGATGTAATCAGTGATTGTTGTTCTTCCCTGGGCTGCTAAGCCTCCTGCCCATGGAGGGTAATTTTTAACCAGTTACCTCCTCTTTCTGTCTTCTAGGCCCGATTTCCCGTCAACCACTCGGGGCGACCTCGGGTGCCTCACTGAAGACACAGCCAAGCTCTCAACCGCTCCAGAGTGGCCAAGTGCTCCCGTCTGCTACACCCACTCCAGCTGCACCCCCCACCTCCCAGCAAGAGCTTCAGGCCAAAATCCTCAGCCTCTTCAATAGTGGCACGGTTGCGGCCAATAGCAGCTCTGCATCCCCCTCAGTTGCTGCCGGAAACACCCAGAACCAGAATTTTTCCACAGCAGCGAACAGCCAGCCTCAGCAAAGATCACAGGCCTCTGGCAATCAGCCTCCAAGCATTTTGGGACAGGCAGGATCTGCTCGGAACATGGGCCCCAGGCCTGGGGCTCCTTCCCAAGGGCTCTTTGGCCAGCCTTCCACCCTCCTGGCACCCGGCAGCAACTTGGCTAGCCAGAGGCCCGTGTCTTCCACAAGTATCAACTTTGACAATCCAAGCGTACAGAAAGCTCTGGACACCCTGATCCAGAGTGGCCCTGCTCTCTCCCACCTGGTTAGCCAGACCACAGCACAGGTGGGGCAGCCGCAGGCCCCCATGGGATCGTACCAGAGGCATTACTGAGGCTAAATCTCAACTTCCCCCAGGCCCCTCTTCCCCTGGCCTCCTACCTGTTGCGTTCTAAGTAGAGTTACTTGGAGGATGTTCTCTGCGCATATCCAGGTCCACATCGAATGTCATAAGTTTCTACCACCTGCTCTCTTCTGCCCAAGGCGGTTGTTACTTATTCCTTCCAGAGTCAGAGTTTGTACTGCCTTGGAGGTGTATTTTTTGTTGTTGGGGTTATTTTTTTTTTCTTTCTTTTTTTCTTTTTTTTTTTGATAGAAAATAAATATCTCTGGGGTCATGGGCAGTATAGGTGTCTGGGCTCCGTTTGTATTTCATTTGTCTCTGTCAGCTCGATGTGGGGGCAGGGGAGGAGAAGCAGCCAGGCCCCTGCTGGCTGCGTGTGGGGTGGTCCTTCCATTGCAAGAGCCACAGCCTTTGTTCGTTTTGAGCCTCCCCAGGCTTTCTGGCCCCACGCAGGCCCACCTGAGCACGAGCTCCTGCCTGCGTCCCTGTGTAGGGTGGTAGAGCGCAGGCTGGGCCTGGTGGGCACGGCGCCAGCGCGCCCCGTCCCGCATGTGTGGGGGCGGTCTGAGGGGTGCTAAGCAGGCTGCTCTGGAGTTGGAGAGGGGCCATGGCAGGTACTTTTCTGCCTGACCCAGAGTAGTTGGTTCTTGGTTTTTCTTTTTTCTTTTTTCCTTTGTGGCTTTCATTGCAATGGAAGATTTTCCATGAACTGAACAGCACTGGTCACCAGCAGTTTAACCCAAACTGTGAATCTGGGCCCCAACCACTCTTAACCCTTTAACATTTGTCAGCCTCTTCCTCACCAGTGGTAGTTTCATGGAGTTGGCTCTGAGAAGACTGCTCTAGACTCTGGCAGTGAACACCTGTTTTTTCAGTGATTGCTTTGAGCTTTTGGCCCAGAAATCAGGCTCTTGTTCTGTTTTCTGAGCAGCAGGAGGTAGGGACCATTTTGATGTCAGACTTTTGGTAGCCAGACATGTTCTTGATGCAGCAGGCTGTTCAAAACTTTTGAGCCAGAGTGAATTTACTGGAGGGAGGACCTCTGCCTGCTGCTCTTAAGTGGAGCCAAAGGAAGCTGCCTTCTCCCTAGGGATGGTGCTCCTTAGAGCCTTGTGGATCAGCCTCAAGGGACCCCTGGCGGAGACACGGGAGAGCAGTGACTTCAGCTGAGTCCTTGCCAGTAGCTGAGTAAACATTGGTTTCCAAAACTCAAGGTCCCCAGATGGCAGTGTTTTATGTTCTGACCTGTTTGTGTTATATAGTGGTTTTTTTTTCCTCTTTGAAACTCCTGTGTTGTTAATAAGATGAAATGATTACTTTTTAATTAAAATGGAAAAGTGAAAGCTGTGTCGTCTGTGTTTGGGTGAGAATCCCGGTGGGGCCTCTCTGTGGCATTTTTTTCCAGAGTTTGTAGAGGAGGCTCCCTGACAGCACTGACTGCTTTCAGTCTGCCGTGAGGTCTGCCCGCTCTTGTCCTCAGCCTGCAGTCAGACCTCAAAACCTCTTAACCTAGCTTCTCTCCTACAGCTCCCCTAGTTAGAAGCTTTCACCACAGAGTGGAGTAAAAGCCTGCTGGGTGGTTACAGTGGTGTGTGAGCATCCTCGTTTGTGGCAGACTTGGAGTGTGTCAGGCGTGTCCGCTTATTCTAACGAAAACAGAATGGCGAGGAGGCCATTTCTCGCCAAAAGGCAGTGGAGAGAGCGGTGCTCTCCTGTTCTGATTTTGTCTCAGTTGCCTGCTCATTATGCAGGGGGTTGGCAGAACCAGCATCCCAGGTGGGGGCGCTGGAGGGCATTTCATGGAGCGCCCCACCAGGAGACGGGGTGGGTGTGGTGAAGTGATTGGCACAAGGCCACCAGTAGATTAGGGATGAAGACACCGACCGCCCAGCCTGAGCTGGAGGTGCTCACTATCTCAGATGTTTGACAGGGCTCCGGAACTCTCAGGACACAAACCAGGCAGCCAGACCTGAAGGGTCAACCCAGCCAACTCTTCTGTCGGTGGCGGTCGGTGTTTCTGATGAAGAGTCTGGGATCCTTGCGGGGGCCCACTTGGAATATCCCTCTCCCCACCTACTAGTTCTTCTCCCTGGGGTGTCCAAACAGCACACCTCAGGCTGTGAAGGGTATAATAAAATTATTTTTATTGCATTTTGTGCAGACGGGAGTCTAAAAAATTAATACAGTAAAAGCTATAAAGCATTAAATGGGAGCATTCAACAATAAAGGAAAGAACCAACCCTCTCCTTTTCATCTTGGCACAAAGAACACGAGATCAATACTGAGGCAGAATGCGAAATACTGAAACACTGAAAATTAAAGGCAGGCCTAGTAATAGTAAGTACTCTGGATTTGGTTTGCAACCTCTCTTATTTACAAGGGTTTTTCAACTTCATTGCATTGCCCTGCACATAGATCGTCTAAAACAAAAGCAACACTAGTTATCACTACAAGGCTATTGAAATATTGCACTCAGAATAAAAGTCACTTGAATGGACATGAAACATCTAGCTACATGATTATAAAGATAAGTTGATGAGTGACGGGTGATAACATTCATAACAAATATTGCACATGTAGCACAGAAAACTTGGGGTTTTGTTGTGGGATGTCTGTTTTCATCAATGGAAACTGCTCTTGCCAACCAGACAGCCTGGGCCCAGATAGTGCAGCTTTGGTTCCCTAAGTGATGTTAATACAGCCGCCTTTCGGTTCTGCCTAGCCCACCGCTTCAGCCTGGGTGTGCTAGGCCCCCAGAAGGCTAGGCCCGGCTGCGGTTCTCAGAGGGAGGTCTTGGAGGATGGGCTGGGGAGTGCTGGTGTCTCATACCTCCAACTTCTGATTCCTACCTGGAGAAATCTACCCAGCCCCCTGACCAAACTTCCGAGAGGCCTTGGTCTAACCGCAGGCGTCCAAACCTCCTCCAGCCACACCTGACCCAGTCTAGATGGCACCAGCGCCAGCTCTGCCTTGGGCTCAAAGGAAAGGAGGTGGTGAGGTCAGGAGTACCCAGAAGCCTCAGCTCTGGGAGGTGGACGGGATGTCTAACTAGGTGCAGTCAGGGCCCTGGGGCTGGAGTTACTGTGCCCAGCCCCAGAGGGCGCTGGAACGAGCATGCAGTGCATGTCCCCCTTAGTAACGTGCCCTGGGGGAAGGGAACCTGGCCAACGGGGTTTCTCTAAGGGAAGAGGGCACCTCCGGCCAGGCTGGCGGAGCAGAAGCGCCAGGGACTGGTGTTGGAGAAGCCAAAGGCCTTGGGCCCTAGTTGGAGGCGGGCAGAGAGGCGCTTAAGAACTAAGCAAGTGCCGACTCCAGCCCTCCCCCAGGCCCGGGTGCCTGGGAGACGCAGCTAGAGGCCGCTGCTAGGCAGCGAGGCCCGGCCCCCAGACGCGGAGAAGGCGGCTGGGTCTCCGAGGCCGGAGTTGCCGGATGGGAACAGGGTAGGAAATATCAGGGGCAGCGCTAGGGCCACCCCGGTGGATCCGGCCCCAAACCCAGAACCGTCCCCTCCTCCCTCACCTGTCCCAGGGAGGAAACTCCGGGGGAGGGGACGCCCTCCAACCCCCCCATTTCAGTCTTTGGCGAAGAGCCACGGGATAGGGGGAGCAGGCGACAAGCCGGTGGAGGAGAGACGCCTGCTCCCCCAGCGAAGGCACCGGGACGGGGCTTCCTGGGGGCGGGGGCGAGGGCCTCTCTCGGTTCCTCTGACTTGAGGAACGCCCCTCCCCTCTCCTGGCCCCAGCTTGCATAAAGAGCCGATAAGAAGAGGCTGCGCGCGTGTCTGCAGCCACAGTGGAAGCTCACAATCGCTGGGAGGCGAATCCAGGGAAAGTTGGGACACTTGTCTCACTTCGTCTCCGAAAAGATCTAGAAGGAAGAAGGGTCAGAAGCCAAGGGCGCGCGGAAAGGGTGAGGAGGCGTCGAGGGAGTGGGTGGTCGAGGGACCACGAGTCCCGCCTGGGCCTAAAAGCACTTTTGCTCTCAAACGCTCGGACGTCAAGGAAAACCCAGCCTCCCGAGGCCCCCGCCTTCCCTGGGCGCGCCCCCAGCGGGAGAACGCGACTGCGGCGAGAAGAGAAGTCCGTTGCGCTTCTAAGTCACAGAAATATGGGGACGTTAAAAATACACGCGATGTCTCCTGTACACTATGTATACGCTCGGCCGGCTCGCGCCCGCGGCCGCGGCCGCGCGAAAAAGGAGAACGCAGACGGCGGGGCGCATCCTCGCCACCCCGCGCGCTCCAGGCCGCCGGGGGAGGGACGCAGAGTGCGGGCGGGGCGGGGCGGGGCGCGGGAAGAGAGGGAAGGGGCCGGGGGGACGACCGAGGGAGTCCTCGAAGCCCCAGGTCCGCTCCTTTCCGCAGCCTCCTCCGACCTTTATTGCAGCGTCTCCTCCGGCGCGGCGAGGCCGGGCTTAGAAAAAGGGCGGCCGGGGCCGACGCGCCAACGGGACTCTGGTCTCCGGGCGGGGCGGTCTTCTCCGGGTCCGCCCCAGCCGACGTGGCCTCCGGGCTTCAGGCAGAGGGGAAAGGGGGCCAGGGCGCGGGCACAGGGTCTGTATGTAAACGGTGACAGCGGCAGGGGGCGCGGCGAGAGCTCCGGGGCCGCGGGCCGGACGCGCTCGGGCCCAGGTGTTTGGTCCTGGCTCTCAGGAGTAGATGGTGATGACCTCGCGGCCGCCGCCGCGGACCAGCATCACCCGGTCCAGGTGCTCGGTGAGAACCTCGAGGAATTCCATGTCTGAGCGCCCGTCAAGGAGAAAGACCGTCCCCTCTCCTGCCCCAAGGAATCAGGTTCCCCTTGGGCGCCCGCAGAACGCCGGGCTCGCGTCCCTGTCCTAGGTGCTGATTCTGAAGCGGACCCGGCTCATCCCTTCCTTCCCAGGGCTAGGACCTAAGTCCCCTGACGTCCACCTCCCTCCTTCCTCCCAATTTTAAGCCCAGGATACAGTTTTCGTCACCGTTGCGGTTTCGGGGAGGCCCAGGCATGTTGAGCAAAACAAGCTTGGCACCCTGGGATTTCTGGACGATGACCTCGTTCAGCCGCACGGCTGTGTGCATGCGCCGCACGTTGGATTGGTTCCTGCGGGAGGAAGCCAGGGAGGAGGAGGGCACGTAAGGCTAGGAGAGAGGGGGGACTTGGATCCAGTCGCCCCTTCCAGCACCTCCCCCGCCCCCAGCACTGGGCTGCTGGGATCTGCTCCTTGCAAGCCAGGGACCACCAACCCTAGACCACTCCAAGCTGGGCTACTCAGAGACCCCAGAGGTCAGGGGTGCAAGTTGAGGGTTCATGGCAGAGTGAGAAGAGTAGGGAACCTGGCCAACCTAGGAGAGAATTTAAAAATTCTGAAGCACTTACAAGTTCTCCCACTCCCTTCAGGAAACATAAGAGAAGCAAAGAGAGGAAGAAAAAGGAGAGGGGTCAGAAAAAGCAGGAGAAGCTGAGGACTTGAGCCACTATCAACACCCTGCGTGCAGACTAGTCTTGCGCTCCCAGCCCCCCAGGCTTCTTCACCTTTCCACTGCCTGCACCTGTGCGTTCTTACCCTTAGCAATCAAGCCCAACCTGAGTCTTCAGACGGGGCAACCAAGGAGAGGTCTGGGCTGGGCCTTCCGACTACCAGACCAGGACCCCTTCTGCTCATTTGCTTTCCACGGGGAGCAAAGACCCTGTAGGCTCACCCCAGACCCCAGCCCTTAGCCCCCAGGCCCGTACGGCTTCATGCTGAAGAAGTCCTTGATGCCCTCAGAGGAGACAGGACTGGGGCCCTTGTTCTTCTCTGCCACGGACTTGTCCTTGGTCCAGGTGAGATGCACTTTTTCTGGATCTGCCTCGCCCTCCACCTCGGGCTCCTCCCCTGGAGACGGTGAGCTGCTGGGGCAGCTGGGAGCACTCTGGTCATGGATCAGCTGCACCTGAGGGATGAAAGAAGGCATGTGGTTCCTTTGGAGGTCAAAGGTTCTGCTCCCACTGGTTGCAGCCAAACCACCCGAGCTGCATACCTCCTCTTCCGGCTTCTCCTCACTGTCACCAGCTGTCTCTTCTGGGACATTGAGGCGGAGCCGCGTGTTGGCTGGATTCTTTCTCCGGATTGAGCCACGAGACTCATCTGTGATACTCTGGATCTAGGGAGGGACACAGGTTGGTGCCATGGAAATCACTACCCATGCCCTGCAAAGAGCTACCCCCAAAGCTGATGTTCAGCCAGGATGTGCACTTTCAGGACCTACCAGTTGTTAAAATACTGCGATGCTTCCACACCAAATAGCTATTGCCCCATGTATATGGCCACTCCAACTCCTCTCCAATACTCCTGGCCTTCCCACTCTCCAGAGACCAAAGGGTTGACAC